TTTTACTGTGACTGTCCCTATTTATTGCGTGAAACTAACTATTCTATTACCAACCATTTTTGTCAATACTGTACATGGTTACGGTACCGACATCATATTGATGTTTCTAAACATCGATGTTCAAAATTGAAACATCGACATCGCCCCCAACCATCGCTGTTTAAAAACTTTAATCACACCCAACATTAAATATTCGTACAGATCAAAATTTCGTTTGACTGCATTTATTAATTGATAAGTAAGATTTAACTGACAAAACGAAGTTAAATAATGAGAATAATTTAAAAATACTGAGCCTGAAAGCCTGAACGCACAAAGTGATCTCAAGGAAGTCAGAGATTCGTCAATTCGACGTGGGTGCGGGAATTGTTACAGGATGAAAGGGGTGGTCAAACTCATAAACTACATAAACTAAATGGTGTCAGTCATTTATTTTCACTTTTACAGAATTGTAATTACGGGACTTTTTATTCACTAAGTGTCTAAAACGTAAAAACATGTATCACAAAACATCTGTGTTGGCAAAACATCGGCATTAATAAATCGATGATTAGAACATTGATATTTGTATAAGAGCTGCGGCGTGTCACGTTATGGCAGACTTGGCACATACCATGGGCGCCACGCACAGAGGCGCTGTTTAGAGTATACACGTTGAAACAAATAACAATCCTGATTGGAAGTATCCTCACACGAGCGCATATTCTATGCTAGCCATGGACGCTGGAATACCTAGATACGCCTCCGTATATAAGTATCGATGATTTGAGAACATGGACATCAAAATCCTGATGCAGATGAGAGACGATTGATACTATTTTTCCCCGACCAGGCCTTTACTTCGCCCAAGGGAGACTTCAGCCTACGGAAGTACTTCGAGTTCTACGCCAAGTTCGCGAGTCGGCACTCGGCGCGCGACCTGGCGGAGGACGAGGAGCTGCTGCACCAGTGCTCGCTGGACGACGTGCGGATGGTGCTGTTCACCAACCGGCCGGTGAAGCGGCGCCGCGACGCCCCCGACGGCGAGCACCTCGACTTCCCCCTGGAGGACGTCCTCCGCACGGGCGCCGCGCAGACCGACGGCGTCTTCTCCTTCGGACGCGCGGACGAGGAGGTTTGCTTGCTCAGGGTCTCAAACGCAGTCTTAACCCGCCGTTGGTTGCGGGTGAGCGCAGCGCTAACTTTACATTTGGAAGTTTGTCACAGGAACGCTGTTGAAGGTTATTAGCCGAGTTCTCGCTTAGCTTCCTAAAAGACCCCGTTCGACAAGATAAACCATCGGAAATTTCCCATTCTTTCATTCATTCATTCATTCATTCATTCATTCATTCATTCATTCGAGTTTTAAACATTGAGGGCTGCGCTCACCCGCAACCGTTCATTTTTTAATTCTGGAATTTGATTTGATATTCGGCTTTAAAACAATTAGTTTTCTTCCTTTGGATGCGGAGACGTGGGTTCAGCGCTCGTGCATCGGTGAGCCCTGCAATCCAAGAGTGTCACGGGAGGCGATTCAACTTTGAATACTCTGAGGCGTAGAGTATTCACAGTTGAACACAATAACTGTGGAACTCAAATAAGCATTTTTATTCAGGAAACAAAAAACAGTCTGGCAACGGAATTTAATGTATTTTTTAAAATGTTTGATTGTTTGTTGGTTCGTACTTAATGCGCTGGTTGCGATTGCGATAAAGCGAGCATTATTTTATCCTGACTTAAGTACTCCTAAAAAGGCCGCTCTATGCAACGGCAGTCTACCCAACCCACCGCACCCTCAAGGACGATTATTAAGACGTCTTCATTGCGTATACTGCCCAAACGATTGTGAAATGTCTCCCGGGTGCGACAGGCATAGAGAGGTAGAAAGTGAGGCAGATAGATACGCAGAGAGAGAGGGGGGAAGAAGAAACAGATGGGCAGAATGTCTACTGGGCTCCGCTTGATACAAATAAACCAAACACGAGCAACTGGCGCTCGCCTACTCCATAATGTTGTTGCCCCGTAGGTGTGGAACCTGCTGAGCGGCGACCCGCAAAGCGACGTCTTCCGGCGTGAGTTCCTCCCGCGGCTGCGCGTCTTCTCGGCGCAGGCGCACGCCAACCGCCTGGACGCGCTGCTCGGCGCGGAGCTGGACGCCGCGTGGGGCGCGCCGCTGCCACGCAACGAGGCGCTGCTCGCCGGCCTCGTGGCCTTCCTCAGGGCGTGGGCGCTGGACGACGACTGCGGCGCGCCCCTCACGCACGACTCGCGGGAGCTGCAGGCGCTGGTGCTGGCGGCGCTGGCGAGGCGCGCGGAGGCGGCGGCGGGCGGCGGCGCGCGCCGGCTGCGCTTCCGGGACGGCCAGCTCGCCCCCTTGAGGAAGGTGCGCTGGTCCTTTGCGTCTCAGCTGAAGGCCTCATCCACCCTTCAGCCTGACCTTGTGCAGCTCGGCCCCACCTAGCCCGCCTTAATCCTCTTAGGCTTCATCCTGTTCGGCCTCGTTTAGCCTGACAAGCATCATCTACTCCGGCGACATCGGTCCCGGTGGAGGTCACATGCACAACATTTCATTGCGATCAAAATTAAACTAGACTTGTATGAGAATAAGCGTGAAAAGAACCATCTTTTCATCAAACATCTGTCATCTCTCCTTACACAAACTTACAGCTACATGCATTCCAATCATAGCCAGTGCTCGGAGCGTATCTCGGCTGGGAAATATCTGAAGGGGGAAATTGTCCGCAAGCCATTTTGTAGGTAGGCGGTGGTCTCGCTATCGAACGGGTGTGGTATATCGCTACATTTCGAGATAACACGTTTTCCCTACAGCACGGGGCTTCTCCCAATGGCGCTGCACCCCTTTGTGGGACCCGTCGCCAGCCAACCAAGTAACCGCGCCTAGTTACTTCCGCGCGCCACTTGCTGCCCTTTTGGGGCCTGCTGCAATGCATTCTTTGCGACGGGCTGTGCGTATTAGTCTATGGGCTTCAATGAATCGTGTAATATCAACTCACACCAGCGGCGGTTTGTAGGGTAGTGCCAGTGTCCCATGCTACCGACAATGCAAAGGGTGTAAGAGACAATTTTCACCACAAATACATGTATACAATATCGTATCTTCAGAACATTTTTCTTTTAATTAATTAATTTGAACAAACGTTTAATTCTTCTATGCTCTATCAATGTTCTCTACGAACACAGGGCGGAGTGCTGGCTACTGGCCTCTTTTTCAACCTCTGAGCCACCTATGAATTGGCTGTCTGCCCTTTTAACGCTGCCAACAGAACGCTGTGTTGCTTTGTACACTTCTCTTATGGATGAGACGTTACAAAAATCGAACTAGCGCAGTAGTTTACATTCCAAAATTGTTTTGTTGCCCATGCATTTAATGTTAGAAATTACTTTGAATCATCGATGGTTTTTGATGGATGTTTTATTATAATCGATGAATAAATTTTGGACATCGATATTTTGTATTTCAAAGAATGCTTCATAAATCCGTTTCCAAGTGTTGTAACGAGGTGATAATTGGGCCACGTGGCAGGTGCTGGGCCGCTTCGGGCGCGGGACGCTGCGCGTGGCGGTGCGGGGGCTGCCGGCGGGGCTGCGCGCCTCCAAGCTGCTGCAGCTGCTGCTCGAGGGCGGGGGCGCGGGCGGGCGGCGCTGGGCGTACGTGGGCGATGCGGCGCTGCGCGACTTCCCGCGCGAAGCGCTCAAGGCTGCGTGCGCCGACTGCCAGGTACGAGGCGCTTATTCCTTCATCGGTTCATTCTTTCCGTGTCTTTCGACTCATTGACTCACTCACTTAATCCTTCATTTATTCAGCGGTTTTTACGACGAGGCGCGTGAGTACCTGTCTTCACGTTGGAAGGTCTCACGGCATTTCGCGTGTGGGTGGTGCCGCTACATGTCGCTTGATGGCGACCGTGTCGAGCAGTGCGATGTCTAGCTGCAAGACCGAGAAAGACGCGGAATGCCGTGATATATTCCACCGTGATGACAGGCCCTGACGCTCCACGTTATAAAAACCAAAGTTAAGTCGACTCCGGTAATAGTAAACTCGGATAAAGTGAACCCTCGGTTATAGTGAACGTAGGAAATACAACGTTCTGAAAATTAATTCCGTCCTGGAAAATAATACATCGTCTCAGTGCCACAAATTGCAACACTGAAATGTCGTTGAAACTTGCCTCAGTGCAACAAAAGGCAACTTGAAAAAAATGTCGTTGGCCAAAGGCCGTAATAGAGACCCTTTGAGATGGTGCAGGCCCGGATATGGGCACCGGACTGATGACCATTTGCCACTCAGTTTCACTTTGGAAACAAGTGGGTGTCCTGCGTAGTCTACAACTGGAAGCGGTGACTCGTGATTGCTTCCTTTAACTTCAAGCTTGGTGTTACTTGATAAGCGACAAAGCGCGAAGAGTTGTACGTGGGAATGAGTATTTCGTCAACTGGGAAGGAATTCACGCGGCTTATTGGAGCGGGAAGTTTGAAATGTATGATCCTTCTTAAATGTCTTCAAAGAGTAGCGAAACAGGTGTTTGAAGCGTGGCGGCGGTTGACTGAGGCCCGACTGCCCTTGCCTCGCCTCCGGTCCCGGAGGTTGCGTGTCTCCAAGCGGCGAGCCCCGAGGCGCGCCAGTTTGAAAGGCGTAATGGGCCGAAAGTGTTAGTCCCCAGTTGGGTATAGCCTAAGGGCCGCTTGAATGGCGGGCAGGTGGTGGTGGTGGACGTGGAGCGCGAGGTGAAGGCGGCCCGCGCGCTGCTGCGGGAGGCGGCGCCCGACCTGCGCATGGTGGTGGTGCTGGAGTCGGAGGCCGGGGACTGCCCGCTGGAAGGCCCCCGGCCCTCGCTGGAGGCGCCTCAAGAAGACTGGAGGCTGGAACACCTGACGGCGGACGCGCAGGAGGAAATGATGGATGCCGAGGTGCTCTTTCAGGTAGTGGACCGCCGCGGGCGGGTAGGGTGCTGCGGGCGGGGGCGCGCTGTCAGGGTGTCGTGTGCTGGTCGGTGGCAGGGGCGTGAATGCCGCGCGGGGCGCTGGAGATGCGGCGTAGGCCCGGGCTGCGCGGGGCGGTGGGCCGGGCGCTGTTGGCCGCCCTGGCGGCTGCGGAGGGCGCGCCGCCGCGCCTGGGGGGCGAGCTGCCGGCGGCGGAGGACGCGCGCGCCTACGTGCCGCTGTCGCTGCAGCACGCGCCGCTGCTCCGCCCCTCCGCGCTCCGCGCCCTCGACCCCGCGCGCCACCTGCTGGCCCTGAGCGGCTTCCCCGCCGACGAAGTGTCCCGGCTGCGGCGCGACGCGGCTGACGCCGACCAAGCACCGGCGCACGCGCTGGCCGATAGGTGAGTTTCCCTGCTTTCTCAAAATCTCCAAGCCCCTTGGGGGCGTTGGCACTTGGCACCAGTAGTGAGCTCTAGTGTACAGACTGCACACAACACTCTGTGCTCAGAAATCGTGACGGTCCGCCATGACGGCGAATCTGTCGAATGATGGCATTCTGTCCTAATGACCTCAGAACCAAATAGCAGGAATTAGCGTCCCGTTGCAATTTTAAATATTTATTCTTTTTTATACTAATACTACTTAAAGTTTTATACTAAATACTATAAAGTTGAATTATCTGGCAATATTTTATCAAAATCCAGTTCTTCATTTCTTGGAAACTTTTTAACATTCACGCAGGGAAGAGTTCTTGGTTTGCTTTTCTTTAATAACTTCATTAGATCGACTTATACCCAGAAATAGTCGTCAGAAACCTAAAAAAAAATTCTACGGAATTCTACGCAATACTTTGACATTTTCGTTGTCTGAGACAGTTTTGAGCATCAGTAGCAACATACAAGGCACATTAATTAGATTGTTGGTGAAGTAGATACCGTTTTTTATTTTGATAAATAAATAGAGATATTGTCAGGTATCAATATTTTAATTCCACTAATGATCAGAACTTTGTTTTCGGCCCAGAAGCTGCAAGCTCTGAGGATGATCGCTACGCGATCGAAATGATCATTAGTGGAATTAAAATATTGATACCTGACAATATCTCTATTTATTTATCAAAATACAAGGCACACTTAAGTTGTAAGAAAATGTACATAGACGTTCACCGCAGTCAACCTAACGAAAAACGACCGTCATGATTTTCAGCACTTCAAAGCATTGCATTTGTGTATCCGGCTATAATGTGGAGATGATTGCTTAGCACTTGGAGTAATCCTCCATTAACATTATCTGTCTTTGTCATGTTTCGTCGCAGTCAGGTGTCAAGAGCACCGCCAGGTAGCACTCCGCGTATGCGCTCCTGCGTCACTACCCAGCGGCCAGAATTAGGAAGGGATTGGGATTGGGATAAGGTTTAGGACACTTTACAGGGGTTGGATTAGTTCGTTTGAAGCAGCAAAACTGGTTTTTTCAGAACAAATTTCACATGAGATTGTCCAGGAATCGTACCCGGGAACGCCTGGGTGAGAGGCGAGAGCCAGCCACTTCAGGCGTGTCTACTGCTGAGTTCATTAATACCGTAAGTGTTGTGCATGTTTTAACAGCTGGAGGTGGTTGTGTTCTGCCTTAGGCGGATGGAAGATTCGTCTGTCTGGATTTTCTCTCTTGTCGGATCTCCTGCCACCCGGGCACTGTCGCAGCCGAGTTAAGTTTTAACGTCACGACGTAACGTCAGGGTCTCCCGACCTCTGCGGTAATGTGGTGCATGTGAGTTGAACTTTGTGAAAGTAGGTGGTGAGTAGCAGGACTAGGAAAATTAAAAGTTGGTGTGTTGTCGGTGGCTGAACGACTCGTAAATGAGATAGATATTGATTGATAATGTGAGCGCATAATCGCCGCCACGCCTCTCGCATGACCTTAGTCGTTGACGCTCCCCAGTGAGGGCCGTGGTGCGACTTCCGCAGGTGGGTGCGGCTGGAGGACTCGTTCGCGTGGCAGTCCGCAGAGGGCGCGAGCCGGAGCGACGCGGCGGCGTTCGCGCAGCTCTGCCTGGCGCACCCGTCGCGCCACGTGCACTGGGTGGAGCGCGCGGCGGCGGGCGACGCTCTGCTGTGGCGGGCCACGCGCGGCGACGGGCAGGCGCTGGCGGCATTCGCCCGCCCGCTGGCCGACGGCGCGCGCTGCCGGCCCCTGGCGGGCGCCTGTGTGCACGAGGCGGCCGAGGTGAGCAGCATCCAACTGCGGGGCTCTTTCTTGGCTTCGCAAGCAGGCGCGTAATGTTACACAAGATGGCGTCAATGTTCGCGCTTTCTTCACAACATTTAGAATGGACTTCTCACAAATTAGCCAATTTTAATGGGCTGCACTCGGCGACACTAGCGTCTTCTATCGTAGCGTCTCCCGGCTTTGTCCCCGTTTCTGATGCAGAGTAGCTAGGCCCTGGCCACGGCGATGTAGTGGAAAGGCAGTCACTCGCCGCGTGGCCGGCGCACGTTCACGGAAAGTTATCCTTCACTGCGCAGCTCCGTGATGAGGACGAGGGTCGGTAGTCTTTGGCCTTCGCGTTGACGTAAAATATCCTTGAGTTCATCCAACGCATAATTACCGAAGCATTTTATGCGCTAATTATGCGACTCTACAGATAACGTGAATATATATTCATTATGTTTTCGCGGAAAGTCTCCATTTGCTTGTCTCCTGTTTGCCCCTCAAGGTTTTTCTTCCAAGTGTACTCGCGCGTGAACGAATCGCACCTCAAACTACATTTCAGACCTGATGTTTTTATGAATACAAGGACAAAATTCGAAATATAAACATACGAGAAAAAAATTGTAAAAATTATGTTTTCAAGATTAAAATAATTTTCAAGATAAAATATTTTAAAATTATTTATTTTTGAGGACAAATAAAGGTATTGAAACGTTCACTTCGTGTTCATGTATTTTGCTCTATCTCTATATAAATGAAATCAGTCATATTGGAGAAATTCTGTGTAATTTTGTCATCCTCGAATATAGTGAACCAAAAATGTTAGTCCCCAGAAGTTCACCATAACCGGAGTCGACTGTATTTGTAACATGAATGTTTTTAATTTCTGCTTCCCTGTTCGCGATGTCTTTTGTTGTATTTGTAACATGGATGATGTGATTTTGAAAATGGCCGTGCTGTTGGCAATGTCATTTGTAGTTTTTGTATAATGGATGATTTGATTTTGAGCCACCCCGTCCCTTTCGCGATGTCATTTGTTGTATTTGTTACACTATGAGGGCCGGTTTCACCAACAGCCGAGAAAAGTTACGAGTAGTTACCCGAGAGTAAGCATTTACTCTGAGATAGTAATTCTCGAGTAGAATATGAGCGTTTCATCATGCTTCTAGAGGGTTATTTTACTTCAGAGTACATACTCTCCGATTTACTCCGCAAATCACAATGCACAATAATTGAGGCTGTGAGCGAGAATGACGCTGAGAACCAATGAGGACCAACGTGAACCTTTGATTAATTCCTTATATTCTATCATTCATTTCAGTTTCGGAGTTCTTGACGTTATAATCTGATGTCGTGTTATGGTGGTTTGGGTTAGCATAGTTTATTTCCTAGTTTCTGTGTCTTTATTTCTTAATACATATTCGTTCTTCTTCGCAGGCGGACGCCAGTGCGTGGGCGGCGCGCGCGCTGCTGCTGCTGGGGGAGCCCGGCGCGGGCAAGTCGAGCTTCGTGGCGCGCGCGGCGGCGGAGGCAAGTCGGCGCCAGCCCGCCCGCTGGCACGGCATCGTGCCGCTGCTGGCCCACAGGCGGCTCCTGGACGGCATGCCGGTCCCCGCAGGTGCGTTTATCCGTATATCGACTGTTATCGTGTTAATTGCAATTGGTTTCTGACGTTTTAAAATCATTCAAAAATAAATACATTGTAACGTTTCTTCGTGGTGAATTAAAACTCACACAGGTAATATTCAAACAAAAACGTTTATTTTGTTAACAGTGCTACACTAAAAATACTTGATTTATTTACAGATATATTACAGTCTTTGTATTCTTCACTTGATTATTTTCCTTACCCACTACTCCCGTTCTCTTGATTATTTATTTACACAGTTCACTGCAATCTGATTATTTACACTTCTCACTTCTACACTATCGCACTGTCCGACGCACCGTCCACGGTCCACTGCGCTGACCACAATTCACAGCTCAGACCACAATTCACTGCGTAGATCACAATTCACTGCGCAGACCACATTTCATTGCGCAAACAATAATTCACTGCGCAGACGAGGGTCTACTGCACTGCTGTTTACCGCGATGGACACTTCACAGCTCAACTTCCACTGCAGACTTCAGACTGCTGGCTGCTGTTCACGTACTGCACCACTGTTCATCGCAATGCACACTTCACAGCTCAGCTTCTACTTCAGACAGACTACTGCATACTCACACTGACGGACTTGACTGTTTACTACTTCTACTTCTTTCTGACTGATCCACGGCCGCCGGCAGCGGCGAATTTATACCTGGTCGGCGCCCGTCTCGACACAAGCGGCACTTGCTTCACATTTCTAGATAGCTAGATGGATAGATAGATAGATAGATAGATAGATAGATTTTATTATTTCTGAAGGTAGATATACAAACTGGTGGCAGAACATTACAATTTACATATTACAGCTAAGAATAGTACTACAATGTAAATTTAAAACATTTTAAGACAATAACAATAATATAACAATAATAAAAATAACAGCATTATCTCTACACTTTATGACTTTCCTGCACGGAATTGTTAACTAATAAATACACTTCACTTCAGTTCACTACACTTGCACTTCAGCTCTCTACTTCTCGATTGCACTACACTTCACAATATGTCACGACTCTCCAATTCAACTACTACTTTAAATATAACGTATATTTAATAAACCAGTGCATTTAATAGTGATCATCACAATACTAATACTGAAAAATTACAATTATAATAAAATTATAACTAAAATAATAACTATGTTAATAATCCTAACTTATTCATTTTACAAATGTCCTTTGTTAATCTACTTTTAAAAGTTTGTACACCTAGAAGAAAGGGTTCCATGGCTGTCGCAGGCAACTTATTCCAGTCCGTTATTGTTCTATTTGTGAATGAAAATTTTCTAACACCTGTTCTCTGTGGCCTGAACTGAATTTTGTGCTTGTGATCCCCTCTACTAATGTAAGTGGGTCTGTTGAGTCGAATGAAAATATCTTTTCAAGCTAGATAACCGGCGTACGCTTTTTACATTGCACAGAGTCTTGCCTTAACCGTCCTGATTTCTAGAGACTTCCATTCTACTTTCTTCCTATTGCTGCGGAAAGTGAGTTTACACGCTTTTCTCTGCCCTCTATTAAATATTCCTTTTGTGAATTTGTATAAGGGTCCTAACATTTCTACGCATCTCGCGAATAGCCCGGAACCGTCCAGTTCAGGGGGAAGGGGGGGACCGAATTTGTTTCCCTGTAGACCAACTAGGATCACCGTGCAACCTGCTTTCTTTTATTGTTATTGTTTGTTTTTGCTTGCGAAAGGCTCACTTGTGCCACGCGTGCATGCTCCCTGCATTTACCGGGGCTCAGCATTCAGGTGAATACGAGTTTTATCCCCAGGGTTGTTAGCCCAGTTCTTCACTTAAACCTTTATCATTGCGAGCTGTAGAGATGCAGAGGGAGGCTGTCGTGGAGCTGTTGGCGGCAGCGTGCAGTGCAACAGCCGCGGCTGGTTGCTTCCTCAACGATGCTCTCTTCCTCACTGGCGCAGCCGATGTGTACATCGATGGAGTGGATGAGATCATGCCGGTGCACAAAGAGAAGGTTTTACGCCTTTTGGAGCTGTTGCTGCAGGAGACACACAAAGACGTACGCCTATGGGTAGCCGCAAGGCATGAGGTAAGGAATGGGACTTTTCAGTTTAGTTGTAGAGTGAAAAAATAACGATTTTTTGGGGAGCGAGGAAATCGGATTATTTATTTGAATCAATTTTTACTTTTTTGTGTAGTAAAGAGAAAGTAATTTTTTTTCTGTAAAAATCGATCCAGACTCAGACGGAAATGATCGTTTTGGGGTCCCTGATATCGATTTTTAAAAAAATGTCTGCCCATCGAGCACGTTTGTGAACACACTTCAGTACATATAGTTTACACAGTTTACACAATCAGTCAAATTATAGGAAACAATTGAAAAAACTACGTTCAAACTCGAAACATTCACCATAATGTGACTCGTTTATTTTACTCATGAATTAAATTCAACTGTTTCCCAACTTCTTTGTTATTATCATAACAAACAAAATAATCTTTTCAAGTATGCCCCTCTGAAAATGTGCAAGAAAATCAGTCACAAATCATTTGAAGCTTGTATTCATAAATGCATTAAATTATTAAATACATATTTCAAGTAAATATTAACGACGTGCGAAATGTTTTCAAAAATACATGTCATACGATTTGAAGTTGCAATCAAATAAGTATTACATTATGTGATTTACTACATTTTGCTATTTGCATAGAAAAGCCGGAAACAATTTGAGCTGTTTTTGAGAAAGGCTTGTGTGCGGGTTGATTAAATCGACTACAGGACTAATTATAATAAAAACTGAAGCTTGTTTTTCGATTCAAAATACTTTTTATTACAAGGGAGTGAACATTTATGGTTATCAGATTTTGTCATTAAGGCTTCTTTCTATCTATCATTTATTCTTAATTCAAGTAATATTAGTGAAGGAATTGGGGGGTAGATTTTTCACGCTGAAGAAAATATGCACGTTGGCTAAGTCATGGGTTTTATAAGTGTAGTATGGACTGTTTTTGCAAACTTAACAGAATTTGTTAATTTTAGTACAATGAATACCCGCGAGTAAAGAGTCATTGTCTTTGCAAATCATACTTTAAATATACCTATTAATTTTAAGGCGAAGTGACGCATCTCTAGGTCTGTAAATTTTGACTACGAGGCTCCGGCCTATGCGATTAACATACAACGTCATTGTACCTTTCCAACGAATTTTCAAGTAATTCGGGGACTGCAAGATCTCCATGCATCTGAATTATGGGGCAGCTGATGAAACGACTTATAAGTTACGATTGTTTGTTTGGCAACACACATCAATGTAATGAAGAACGCATGCCGTGTATATTTCTCTGAAGTAAACTTCAAACCAAACTAACTTTTCTAATTTTCGATATTGCTAAATGAAAATCGGACCTGTACTATTGTTAGAGGTGAACTTTGGGTGATTCAAACAAAATGTATAGCACAAAAAAATTGAAGACTTCAGAAAAAAAGTCCAAGGATGAAATTTAAAATTTAACCTCTCGAAATTAAAAGTATGCTTTAAATTAGCAGAGATTTGTTTGCGACTAGATTGATCGAAGAAAGTCCATTTTAGAGACGATTCTGTGAACAAGTTTCGCCTCTATATTGTTCAAAGTTGAAGGAGCAAACTGCTACGCAGACACATTTTGGGTAGAAAAAATCGGTATCACAGTTCCACATACTCGGTAATCGGTATTTCCTTAAAAATATCGCCATAGACTTTGTGAAGCATTGCTGTTCTTTTTCTTTTCTACATAAAAGAGAAAGTAAAAAGCAGCCAGAAAGCGTAGTGAAAATGATTGTTGCATATATATTTCCTAATGCATTTTTTGGCACTCAGTTCATGGAACCAGGAAGTCATTAGTGATTTTTCAAAACGGTTATAAATAATACCCAAACGTTCGCCATGGTATTCCAGTAATGAACTTCAAATTTAGTGAGCTGCAGAATGTTTACTTTCACCTTAGATCTGTATGATGTAACTTGCATTTCAAGATCTGACCATGCAAATTTGTGTTTCAATGTGTAGGTAATTTCACTGTTAAAACAAGGTTTTACAAAGTAGGGGAATATTTATGTACTTGTGTGTTCGACATATTTTGTTATATTCCCATAGCTTGTGTACTGAACATAAAGTGATTAAATTACAGTTATTTCTTACCTAAATGCTGCAACAAAACTGATTTCTCTCTGTGTAGGCGCAGATATCTTTATGCCGAGTATTGCGTTGCACACCAGTCTTTCTTCTACCACTGTCACACTCCCAACAACTGGACTATCTTTCAAAGCAGTGGGCTGCAAAACTGAAAGTTCATCCTGCTGTTGTCCAGCCATTTGCCAGAGAGATGGTGAACGCTGTCGCCCACATTGACATCAAGAGAAGCAAAGATTTTCGAAATCATCTCCTAGATCCTTATAAAATTCTAAAAGTGATTACCAGTGTACTTGCTAATTCTGACTTATCTGATGAGCATAGCCCTATCACACAAGCGGAATTAAGATTAATTGGGACGAAGATAGAAAAACGATTTAATAATGTGATTACACATCCACATTCTGTATTCACTCCAGATAGTTTGCTAGGTTTGTTGCAAGATACATTGGATCATTTAACAGAAACTCTTGATACAAAAATAGCATCTATCTTTCACCAGAAAAAACAAGCGTTAGTTCAGAATGTTTTAGATTATTTTGGTGTCAATAATGAATCACTTCTACGGGTTCCTTTGCACATAAAAATGGTTGCAGAAAGTTTTGTAGAGGCTGCAGGTGCAGCTTTAAAGTCTGGTAACAGTCTTCTGAAAGAAAGACTGAATCATCTTGACATATTTCAGCATTTTATTGACTTAAAACGTACGAGTTTATTGAAGAAGCATGGGCAGATGAATGTCAACCCAAGCACTTGGTATAAGGACATGGAAGATGAACTTTTTATGAAGATTCATCAGACTTATGCTATGAAGGTAACTATATAATAATGTGTTTTATTTTAATTATACATTTGTGCTATAAATTAATGTATAATATTACACTATAGGGGAAACGGTCGTATCTAGGGACATTTTTAATGTTTTAATTTCACCCCTCTTCCTTTGGATATGACATTGTTCTTGTGTTCTTAATGTTCTTTTTTGGGGGATGCTACACATCTCAGCATATTTATGTGCGTGAATAATAATTTTTAAAATTTACAATTAATAATATTTTTTAATAATATAATATTATAAATATGTATTAATTAAATTATTAAAATCGTTTATTAATTATTATTTGTGAATAAACTATTCATTTAATTCGTAAAAATTAAATTATTTATAAATATGTACAATATTAATAATTTTCTTGTAGTGGAGTTCATGTCAGTTATTTGTGTTGCAGATATTTTATGTGTTCATCGGTGAGAATTGTATAAAGTCATTAGAAAAGGATCTCAAGAAATTTAAACCGTATCTTCCGAAGGAGAAAACCGGCATTCTCTGGCAACTAGAAAACGAGGAGTTGCAATTCGCCCATTTTACGTACGTCGAGTACTTCGTGGCGTCGTGGTTGTTCAAGAACCTGAGCGGCAAGCACAAGAAGGAGGCGAAACGAGTCGCGAGGACGGTGTTCGAGAGGCGCCTGGGGGATTCGGTGGCGACCTTCCTCAACCTCATGCTGTGCGACGGCCTCCGCCTCCACCAGGCGGCGCTGGCTGGCGACGAGGCCGCTCTGCAGGTAGGACCCGCCAAGCTACAGCCTGGGCTGAACACCCTGTTTTACGTAGGCCCGAACTTTACGCCCCTGGTGAAAGGAAATGTGGGGGATAATCCGAACACGATGACGCTGTGGTTGAGATGCAATATTGTTTAAAAAATGTTTCTTATATCTCTTTTAATGGCGTGTAACAAGGTGATAATTTTGGTATTTGGCGTCATTTAAAATTCCCGCTAATACTGTGACGCAAACTGATGCCTGAAGCCCATTAGTGAATTCGGATACGATTTTTAAATTGCTTCTTTTACTTCAATTACACATTTGTGCTATTTTTGGTCACCATTGAAAATTGTTACTTTATGTCTTTTTTCAAAATGTTTTTCAGTGGCACTGCTCGCTTACCATATCGAATAGAGACTAGAGTCCGGCCTAGCTTTCCAAACGAAGAGCCTGTGTATTGGTCTCATGGTTCGTAACTTATCTGCGCAGAAGGAGCAGAAATGGGGGAGCCGGACCAGTTCACCCAGTGATCTGTATACCAAGGCCTCATTCACAATGCAAACTTTTACGTAAACATACCTTAGCCGCAAAATTTAGAAATGGGTTAGTAAGCGAGACCATTCACAATGTAGCCATTCACTAGCCGTAATCCTTAAAGTTGTGATCACAAGTACCAATCGTTTACTTTAAGTTTACGTCGAAATCCTGCCAATCAGAGAGCTGCATGAAAGAAGCAAATGCACACCAAGAACTGCAAGAAGCAAATAACGGTAGATTTCAGATTGTGTGCAGGAAGTTTGTAGTTATATCAATTTATTACTGTTATGTATTGAACTAGTTTGCGAACGGTTCTGATGCGAGTAGTGAATTCAAAGTAAGTATTTGGGCAATTTTTCTTGTACCTTAACTTGACATAGCAAATAAGAATAGAATATAGAATATACTAGTGAATTTAATACAAGAGAATCCTTGTTTATAAAATAAAGGAAATGCGAGTACTAATATAACAGCTACCGGTATTTATATATGAAGTCAAATCTATTGAAAAATGGAAGAAAAAGCTTGGCGAAAAGATCTTTCCAAGTTTTGTTCCAGCGTCGTTGTGAATGCTCGTAGTTTCTACGTGTAAATGTTACTGCTCGATTCACGGCATGACGTTTCGTTTGAGTTTGTCTTGCGATGGAGGCCCAACCTGAGTTCTGCGTTTGCGTCCCGGCAGGTGGCCTTGGCGCAGGGGGCGGCGGCGGCGGCGGCGGCGGGAGTGTAGTAGTAGTAGTAGTGTAGTAGATAGTAGTATAGTAGTAGTAGTAGTAGTAGTAGTAGCTAGTATAGTAGTAGTATGTAGTAGTAGTATGTTAGTGAGTAGTAAGTAGTAGTAGTAGGGAGTAGTAGTAGTAGTAGTTAGTAGTAGTATAGTAAGAGTAGTAGTAGTAGTAAGTAGTAGTAGTAGTAAGTATAGTAGTGTAGTAGTAGTAGTAGTAGTAGTAGTAGTAGTATTAGCTCAGTAGTAGTAGTAGTAGTAGTAGTAGTATAGGTAGTAGTAAAGTAGGTAGTCAGTAGTAGTAGTAGTAGTAGGTGTAGTAGTAGTAGTAGTAAGTTAGAGTAGTAGTAGTAGTAGTAGTAGTAGTAGTAGTAGTAGTAGTAGTAGTGTAGTAGTAGTTAGTAGTAGTAGTAGTAGTACAGTATGTTAGTAGTAGTAGTAGTAGTAGTAGTAGTAGTAGTAGTAGTATAGTAGTAGTAGTAGTAGTAGTAGTAGTTTAGTAGTAGTAGTAGTAGTAGTAGTAGTAGTAGTACAGTAGTAGTAGTAGTAGTTACAGTAGTAGTAGTATAGTAGTAGTAGTAGTAGATAGTATAGTAGTATAGTAAGTAGTAGCTAGTAGTAGTAGTAGTAGTAGTAGTAGTAGAACATAGTAGTAGTAGTAGTAGTAGTAGTAGTAGTAGTAGTAGTAGTAGTAGTAGTAGTAGTAGTCAGTAGTAGTAGTAGTAGTAGGAAGGAGTAGAGAGAGTAGGAGTAGGAGTAGGAGGTAGGAGTAGGAGTAGGGAGAGGAGTAGGTGTAGGAGTAGGAGTAGGCAGTAGGAGTAGGAGTAGGTAGTCTAGAGTGAGTAGTAGTAGCAGTAGCCAGTTAGCAGTAGCAGTAGCCAGTAGCAGTAGCCAGCTAGCAGTAGCAGTAGCAGGAGCAGTAGCATAGCAGTAGCAGGTAGCAGAGCAGTAGCAGTAGCAGTAGCGATAGCAGTAGCAGTAGCGTAGCAGTAGCAGAGGCAAAGTAGCAGTAGCAGTAGCAGTAGCAGTGCAGTAGCAGTAGCAGATAGCAGTAAGCAGTAGCAGTAGCAGTAGCTTAGTTAGCAGTAAGCTTAGTAGCAGTAGCCCCAAGTTAGCCCAGTAGCCCCAGTAGCCCAGTAGCCCAGTAGCATTAGCAGTAGCAGTAGCAGTTAGCATAGCAGTTTAGCAGTAGCAGTAGCAGTAAGCAGTTAGCAGTAGCAAGTAGCAGTAGCAGCTAGCTAGTAAGCAGTAGCAGTAGGCAGTAGCCAGTAGGCAGTAGCAGGTGCCAGTAAGCAGTGCCAGTAGCAGTAGCAGTAGCAAGTAGCGAGTAGCAGTAGGCGTAGCAGTTAGCCAGTAGCAGTAGCTCAGTAGCAGTAGCGCTAGCAAGTAGCAGTAGCAGTAGCCAGTCCCCAGTAGCCCAGTAGCAAGTGCAGTAGCAGTAGCATAGCAGTGAGCAGAGCAGTAGCAGTACTAGGCAGTAGCAGTAGAGGAGCAGGAGCAGCAAGGGCAGGAGCATAGGCAGCAAAAAAAAAAAAAAAAAAAAAACAAAAAAAAAAAAAAAAAAAATAAAAATAAAAAAAAAAAAAAAAAAAAAAAAAAAAAACAAAAAAAGAAACAAAAAAAAAAAAAAAAAAAAAAACAGCAGCAGCAGCAGCAAGCAGCCAGCAGCAGTAGCAGTAGCAGTAGCAAGTAGCCAGTAGCAGTGCAGTGCAGTAGCAGTTAGCAGTAGCAGTATAGCAGTAGCAGAGCAGCCAGCAGCAAGTAGCAGTAGCCCAGTAGCCCAGTAGCAGTGCCAGTAGCAGTAGCAGTAGCAGTAGCAGTAGCAGTAGCAGTAGCAGCTAGGCTCAGTAGTAGCCAGTAGCAGTAGCAGTAGCAGTAAGTAAGCAGTTAGCAGTAGCTATAGCAGTAGCAGATAAAGCTAGTAGCAGTAGCAGTAGCAGTCAGTAGTAGTAGTAGTAGTGCAGTAAGTAGTTATTAGTATAGTAGTAGTTAGTAGTAGTAGTAGTAGTAGTAGGTAGTAGTAGTAGTAGTAGCTAGTAGTAGTAGTTCATCATCATAAAATGTCGCCATTGTCGGAACGTGATACTCAAAAACCAGGCCCACCGGACATCGGTGGCATTCGGATTCAACGGCGTTGCCCTGAGCTATTGCCAGCCAGACCAGCCAAAAAAATCGAAAACCACAAAAAACAAAGGCGTGATTTTCGCCCTACGGATAAGACAATCGCCATTAAGAATTTAATGTTGCGACATCGGACAACACAAATTGATCCCATGTTCAAAATTAAAACTCGCATATTACAATACAAAACAACTCAACGCTTTTCAAACTATCCGTGCTTTTAAAGCTGACTTCTCGCTTTGCAATTGTGCATAACAAAATTTAATTTGACAGCTGGCCCAGTTTAATAATTTATATAAGGTTAGCAGTGAACCTAGGTTAAAAAACGGCGTCTCCCAAAAACGAGGAAGACGTAGAAAAAGGCGGGGTGAATGGGGGTTACTCGGGCGAGAGGGACGTCAGTCAGTGAAGCGTCATACAAAACAACAGAGTTTTGTATCGAGCACGTAAACCAAACAGTGGTGCGATCAGGCTCATATTTTTAAACTTCTACAAATGTTTTGATTTTGCGTTATATCTCTCACAAAACATCCGATGCACAAACATTAGCTTTCACATCGACGTTTCTATAAAAACTTGGAAATTTTGAAAACATCGGCATGAGGGTGTCGCGTCCAAACTGCAGCAACAGCTCCACTTCGTGACCGAGTCGAAGCAATGCTCTCGAAGACGGGCGTGGCCAACGCCGCCCACGCGGACCACCGCCCCGCGCGGCCCACGCGCTCCCCAGCGCCGAGGAAGGCGCAGCGCGCCGGCCCCCGCGCGCACAAGCACGTCGACGACCTCGGCGAGGCGCGCCCCCCCCCCGGTCCAACGCCCACGGCGCGCGCACACGCCGCCGGCGGCAAAACGGGCGTCGCGCAGCCCAAGCCGTTCTCAGAGTCACGGCCGCCCGGCGGACAGCACGAAGCTTCACACCCCCGCATGCCCCCCTGCGGCGCTGCAAGTGCAGAGGCTGATCTCCTTCTCGTTTCGTGCTTCGCATGTGTCCGCGTCCGCGTGTCCAGAAGAATCCCACATTTTTCCCGAAGGTTCCACGCAACAGCACAATGCAGCGGAGTCCACAGAAAGTCGATTCACGGACTCAATGTCTTTCCCAGCAGGACAGAAGGGAATCTACAATGCGCTATGCACCTTTATACGCTGCCATATGTATAGGTAGTTCACACGTACTTGGCTCTCGCGTTCAAATTTGCTTTTTGCCAGACAGCGAGGTACTTTACCATGTTCTCGTCGAAATGGAATTGCGCAATGTAGGGGAGTTCATGCCAAGATGTTGACGCCCTCCAGAGCCCGCTCCTCGAGTCAAAGGATCGTCTACGATGTGTTTGTGTCCCCTAAATGCCGCAATTGTATAGCCTTGATCCCCATGCACTGTCTTGCGGGATATCCGCTCCTCGCAGACAAGAGGAGATTTCGTTCAATTCCTCTTGGCCTTCGTATCTGCACAGTTGAAGAGGGTGTTTCATTCCGCTTCGTGTTTAGCTTAATGTTCGCCCCGCAGCTAAAAAGGATCTCCCAGTGACTTTTTTTGTGGACCCCCTTAGAGCTGCTACCGTGACATTAGGCTCCGCAAAAACCTACTTTCCTGGCATTAAAGAAGAGGCCTTCTCATCCAAAAGAAGTTGTTACTACGTTTCGCTGTGATCGAACGCAACAGCCAAAAGTGAAGAAGCCGTGCACCCATTTCGTTCCTAGCAATTGATATTTCGCTTTTCAACAGCAATTCCACAACTGTGGACGTGTCCGCTCTTACCGCTGCATGGAGGCCGATTCCCAAGTCGGCGGTCTTCGAATCGACGTTCCTGCTCCAAGAGAGAGGAGTTCGATTGACAAGCGATTCAATGTGCGCGAAAAGAGCTGTCAGTACAACGCGTTCTCCCGTTGCTCAATGCAGCATGACGTCTACCCAGAACGCACCAATTGGTTCTTCAGCACTCTAGTGGACCCAAAAACTGCTATCATCCCTAAGATATCTGCAGTTTTACACGATTGAGATTGAATGGCCGCATTTGCATCTCTGCTATTTCCCAATCCCGAAATGACATAGAACCTGCTGTCCCAGTCTTTGAAGAAAACAGTAAACAATCTGTAAAACAGATGAAAAATAATGTATATATAAGAAGTAAAATAACTTCAAATGTGTTTCTACTGCTCGCTATAACTTATTTTCGCTTCTGCAGTTACAAAGGGGGTAGTCGAGCTGCATCTGGGCTGTCGCCGGTGACGCCGTCGTCGAAGGCTGAGTTGCACCCGGACAGCCCAGATAAGCCAACATGACTCTTAGGTCGCGGAAGCCTTACGACTTCAAAGGGGCCGGTGTCGTCATAAGCGTTACGTAATTTGTAGGAGGTTCATGGCGGTGCGTTAATGGGTGGCGTTACTAGGGGGAGACGAGGGTATTGAAAAAACTCAAGTTATTAGAACGTAATTTAAAGACCACCCCTTTTACAGGAACTTGACCGCACGGATTCAGTCACCGATTAGACCCATTTATCTTCAAACCATAACGAAAAATGAAGTGTCCGGCGTAGCTCTGCCTTCCCCCATGCAAACACTGTTTATTCTGCCCGAAAACGAGCAGTTGTGCAAGTACAAAATTGGGGCAGATGCTAAGAAAGTAGTAATCTAAATTGCCAATCATTCAAAAAGAATTACGCGAAATCTACTTCATACTTTTCGAAAAAATTGCTGCCTAACTGTATTTTAAGATGGCTTTAAACACTGCACTTTATTAAAAAAAACTTATCATCGATTGGGAATTGCTTAGGAAGACGCCGAAAAACGTGAACTTTTTGTGATTTTCGAAAAGTCATGGATTATTAACCAAAATTTTAATTTGCGCCAATCTTTAGCCC